TACAATCTTGGATTATATAGTACGATTAGTTCAAAAATCTCTATTAATTTTGTATGGTAAACAAACTCTAATATGACCAGTTCAAGATTCTTGAACAAAACATGTAGTATGAATAATGAATCATATTGTATGATTAATTCAAAATTAAGAATTTATCAAGGATGATCTATAAGATAATCAAACATAATATCTATCCTTTATCTATCATGATTAGTATTGTATGGTATGAATAGTTTAATCCTAACAAGGTTCATCCAGGATGTCCCTTGGAAAATGAAATATCACCTTTGTTGATCGTTTAGTTTGATAGTGAATTTCCATTCATTTAACTTTCATGGATTAACCATATTTTGATTAACTAATCATAGGGATTAGTTTAGGGAGATATGAAACATCATATAATACAAACTAGTTCATATAGTATGATTAGTTCAAAATAAAAATTCAAAAGGTTGCCTAAATCTTATTGGTAACTTGAGGCTTCAAATTTTAATTGATTATCTTATACTATCGAGATCATATAGTATAATTAATTTAATAATTCTAATCACTTAAGTAGCTATTCTAATTTATTTCTGATCTAAAAATTGTATAATATGATTAGAATCATATAGTATGAACTTAAAAAAAAAAATAAAAAATTTAGATTCTCACTCTCCCGTGTGTGTGTTTGCATGTTGCCATGCTAGCATACACCTTTTAAAGGATATTTGACTCAACAAAGTTAAAAATTAATAAAAAAATGTAGATTGCAAGAAATATCAAATATTCTGTTCAGTCTTAATTCATTATCCTTTATTATGCATGGTGTACGATGTTCCTAATATGTTAATGTATAAAAGATAAATACGCACTAATAGTATTAGGTGAAATAGGGGAGAGCAAACAAATTTGCAAGAAATATTATTAGTATTAGGTGAACTTATAAATTCATGTAAGATAAATACGCACCCAATAATATTTATTATCATCAAATTTATAAGTTTGGGCTAACAGATTGCAACATTATATAGTTTTTATACCTTTATTGACCTTTTTAGTAAATGGATGATTACTCGCCTTCCTATCTAATTTGTTTGCTCTCCCCCAAAAAAAGTCCACCCTCTTTGACAATTTTTGACTTAGCTGGCTAACTCACTAATGTTCTTCATTATAGTAGTTAAAGTTTTCACTAGTTCTTCTCAAATGATTAAAGAAGTGAAGGATCTTAAATAATGATATGCTTCATATAGAGGTTAGATAGTAGTGGCTTCACATCATCATGATTGTTGAAAAATTAACATAATGATTGAGGCTACAGTAAAATAGGATTGTAACTTTTTATTCAATCTTTACTTATAATTTGGTAGCACAATTTAAAATGCATTACTAAATCACTTATAAATTTTATCACTCTCCTATTAAAGGTTCAAGTGAATTAGGGAACTAAATGTACATTCACATATACCATTTTAGTATCTTGTAATTAGTTTTGGGGGGTCTTCATAAGGGTACTCGCCCCCTAGTGGTAAAATAATGAATTTCATATATGGATCATCAAATCACCTTTCTAGAAAGCATAGAGGGAAATCATCCTTCATAGGAGAAATCAAGGGTCCTCATGGATATGGTTCACCACTTATCTCATAAAGAAATATCAATTATTAGAGCTTCTTTTTGCTAGTCATGTAATGGGGCTGGGCAAATGCTAACATAATCAGTGGGAAATATGGCTTATTATTCTTACATGAATGAACTATGTATTTATGAAAATGAATAAGCTTAGGTTTTTGTGTATATGAAATTGCCCACTAGATACATAAGCATACATGTCAATTAATTAATATGTATGAGTGAGTGTTGATCACAAGAGAAAATGTTCTATAAGATTACAATCATGCTAGTATTATTTAGTATGAGTGCACCATTTGTCATACTGAACACGAATGAAGGTTATTGAGTTTTTGTCACTTATAATGAATTAAAATAGATGATGAGATGCTAATACATAAAAAATGATTTGGACAAATGGTTATAAAATAATAACATTTCCTAATGAAACTCTTAAATGTCAACATGGATCAGACCATATGCATTATAAGATCTCTGTTAAGCTTGTAGTGGTGAAAATGAAAATTCAAGACCTTCATATAATTATACTCTATCCATATAACCTAGATGGTTAAAAATCCTATGTCAAGATATGCCAGTATTCCATTTCAATTTTCTATTTGTGCCAATATTCCTCTATTGAGGTAATATATCACACTAAATATTAACTATATACATAGCCATTGTATGCATTAAATAAATAATGAGATATATTTAAAACATCCATAAATTCATTAAATACATGAGAGTCTATATTAGTACTTGCATTGTATTTGCATCATTAGGATCATTAGCCCAAAACAAAGAAATTAATTAGACATATATAATGAGCTCATTTTCATTTAAATTATAGAAGAATAAATTCAGAAGAAACAATAAGGAAATACTTAATTAGGATAGTATAATTGACTTCCACACACCTTCCTCCTCTAATGTTAGCATTGCTTACACAAGATAAGCTAAGATCTCCAATGAAAGTATCTTTTACTTTCTTAGCCTCTCTTATACCATAGTCTAAGGGTGCACTAAAGAAATACACTGAATATTATAAGACTTTACTAAAAGTGGAAAAACTCCAAAATAAAAGAATTGAAAATTTATCTATAGCAAGTGAACAAATGGCCTCAGGTGCCACGATTCTCTAAATGGAGGTGCTATGATGTTATTAATTGAACTAGCTCCACAACACTATTAAACTTGTTCCACTACATTATTGTGCTGACTAGGCACACCTGTAGGATAAAAAGGTGCATCACTTTGTAGAAATATCATGGCTTTATCTTTCATCAATGTCTCCACTACGACATTAGAAACGTTGAGCATTACAGTGCTTTGATGTGCAATCTGATGCTGTGATGTTATAATGGCTGATTCTTTAGCGTTTAAATTCATGAGACTTGGGTGTTGTGTAAAGATTTCTAACGCTACAGTGCTATGAAGCATGCGGTGCTAACCTTGGCTTTGCTAGGGTGCTAAATTATTTACCATTTCCTGAGATGCTCGCGATGTAATTACCTAATCCAGCATTGATGCACTATAGACATTGTGGCACCACTAATTAGACTGCTGTGGCATTAGTTCAATGCTTGTGAACTTTTTTTGAGCAGTTTCTATACAAATAAAACTAGAATAACATATTTTTATTATATTTAATTGTAATAATGAGAACACTATTCAAACTTAACACCATGATAGGGTGCTTTCATTCTTCCTCTCCACAATCACAGGAACACCCTTACCCAAGACACCCTAAATTCACCATCATGTAGTTATCGAAACTTGGAGCTCATCTTCCATACTACTCAATCTTACTTACTGTCCTCTACAATCATCAAACCTTGGAGCTCTTCTTCCTTCAACTCAAGCGCTACATAAGTAGTTAATAAGACAAAAATTTTTCATTCACAATTATATTTATTAGGAAATTTTATTCTTTTAATTTTTGTCTTTATATAGGAAAATAGTGAAAATTTTAAGATAATTGAACCAACAATAACTGGAGATTTTAAAATAGGTTTACAATTCTTCCTTCAACTGAAGCTCTAAACAAGTTGGATCACTCTTTGAAGCATTCTTTTTTTTTTTTTTTACTTTTCTATACTTTAATTGATAAATGTATTAAGCCTTACATAAATTAAAAATATTGTGTGATCTAGAGCCTCGATGGAAGAATAAAAGAACAACTAGAGATTTTAAAATATAGTCTTGCCATAACCTAGACATATGGTGGTTAGGATTATAGGGTCTTAAGGAGATAGAAGAATGGTAGTTAGGAATAATCTTAGCTAATAGTCTAATGAGTTTTACTGAGAGGATGAGTACTTATGCTATGATCCATAATAAAGTAAGAAATCAACCACTCTATAGTTATCCTGAACTTTTAAATATCATAGATTCAAAATTTATAAAAATAGTGAATTTTCCTTTCTACATTTGAAGTTTATTTAAACTTAACCTACACAACCTTTTAATTCAATAGGCTAGATAAATTTAGTAATATGGTAAGCAACACTAAAGTGAGCTTAGTAACTTTTAGTTTATCCTAGTGGTATTGACACTCTTCTCATCAATACACTACTTGACATGACATGTGCACTTATGTTAAACATGTCATACAATGTAGTAAAATTAAACCATCTTTAGTGACATGAACATTCAGTGTAAGCAATAGCCCATAGCACTGCATACATAGGTAAACATAGTGAAGTAGAGACCATTCAAGTTTTTGGCGTCATTGCCTAGAACACACAACTTTTAAAATTATTATCCTTTTATGCATTTTATATTTCTTAACCCATTGATTGTTTCTATAGTTTTCATTTCAATTTTTTTTTTATCTTCTTAGTTTTGATTTGCTTACTACTTAATTATATATTTTCAATGTTTCACAAAATTTCTAGTGTGTTAGTTTCTATTTCATGCATAAAACTAAACAACTAGTAGAATTTATGTCGGACACCTAAATTGAAAAGACTTCAAAAATTAGAAAAACTCGAAACTTTAAAAAGAAATTAAGATGGTTGAACCAATTCTAGAAAATAACCAACCTAGATTACTGAGGGAATATACCAACCCTATGATTAAAGGTATTCATCAAAGTATAAATAGACGAAGAATTCAAACCAGTAAATGTCGAATTAAAACCTGCCATAATTCAAATGGTGCAAAACTCTCCATTTAGGGAAACACATCTAAAAGACCCTAATTTGCATGAAGCTTATTTCCTTGAGATTGTACAACCTTTAAATATAATGGTGTTATTCATGATGCTATTAGGCTTTGGTTATTTTCATTTTCTCTTAGGGATAAAGCTAAAATAAGGTTAAATTCATTATCCTTTACTTAATAACAACATAAATGGACTTGCCCATAAATTTTTAGAAAAATAAATTTTGTAGTATGAGACCGCTAAGCTAAGAAATGACAACATATTTTAACTAATTAGATGTTGAATCTATTTATGAATCATGGGAAAGATATAAAGAGCTACTTAAAAAATGTCTTCATCATGCTCTTTCATGTAAAAACTATTACCCTTTGGTTAGTAGACAATTCATTCACATATCTAATAGGTATAATAGAGGATGTGCTAATCAAACTAGATAAGTTTATCTTTCATGTAAAAACTTGAATTGATTGTGAAATTGCAAGATCAAAACGTGACCATCAATATATCAAAGTTAATTAATTTTTCTAGTAACCAAAATGAGGTTTGTCATAGTGTAGGCTTTGTTGATAATTATGTGAAAAATTATATGGAGGATATACTGATGGATAATTCTTTAGGGTTATTTTGACTGAGTATGATAGATGAGAGGGATATAAAGGTTTTGTTCCAATGATCTGTGAAGCACTTAGAATTTATAGGAATAGGTTTGAAGTTCTTGATACATCATCCTTAGGTATGTATTTGAAACCTTCACTACACGAAAACAGCTTATTTCCGACAGAATTTTCGGCGGAATTAAATTCGTCGCAATTTTAGGCGGATTTTCTAGCGGATTTCCGACGGAAAATTCTTAAAGAATTTTTGACATATTTTTTGAATTTTCCGACGAAAATGGCCGCAGGAAAATGACGTTTTTCCTGTAGTGCTTCAACTATATAGGCACCTGTGTTAGAGCTAAAAAGCCTTATTCTCCCACTAGAAGTATTCATTTTTAGAAGAAGAGTCATCCTTAGCTATTATTATTTATACTGATATAAGATAAGACCATGAGGGCAAGTTGATTAATGCTCTAAGAGCATGCACAAGATTTTGATGGAGGAAAATCTCTTTCCAAAAGCTAAGCCCATAAAGATACTCGACCCTATTATCAAAAAGGTTGTTAAGATGGATATACTTAAGTGGTTTGGTGCATTAAAAATTTATCACATTTTAGATATTGCTTGGATTAGTCCACTAGGTTGTGTTATAAGAAATGATGTATAACTATAGTACTAATGAAAAAACGAACATATCACCTCAATGATAATTATTTGTTGGAGAATTTGTATAGACAATAAAAAGCTGAACAAAGCAACTAGGAATGATCATTTTCCTCTACCATTCATTAACCAACTATTGGATAGGTTAGGAAGACATCGTTTTTATTACTTCCTAAATGGTTTTTCAAAATAACATAAAATTCATTTAGAATTAGAAGACCAGGATAAGATTACATTTAGTAGTCTTATAGGACATTTACCTTTAAGAGGATGCCTTTTGGTTTATGCAATACCCCTGTTACCTTTCATAGGAGTATGACATTAATCTTATCTAATTTAATTGATCAAGGTATTAAGATATTCATGGAAGATTTCTTTATGTTTGGTACCACTTTTTATTTTAATTTGGACCTTTTAACTAAAGATGCATAGAAATAAATTTAGTACTGATTTGGGGGAAATGTCAATATGTGGTTGAAAAAGGCATAGTCTAAGGCCATAAAATTTCAAAAAGAGGTTTATAAGTGGATAGGGAAAAGTGTAGAAAATTCAAAATCTTCCACCACCCACTTCCATTAAAATAATTCAAAGCTTTTAAAGATATGCTAGTTTTTATATGAGATTCATTAGGGATTTTTGTTAAATATTAAAATGTTTTGCCATGTACTTGTAAAAGATGTCCCTTTTTAATTTTAAGGATGAATTACTTAAAGCTTTTAAAATTTTAAAACAATAATTAATCACTGCACCTTGCATTATTACATTTGATTAAACTTTACATTTTGAAATAATGTGTGATGCGAGTGATAATGTTGTAGGTAATCTTTTAGGGAAAATAAAAGATGATAAATTTCATGCTATATACTATGCTAGCATAACCTTAAATTTAACTGGTTATATCTATATAACCATTAAAAATAATGGTTAGCTGCTATCTTTGTTGAAAGTGCTACGGCATGCTAGGAGGGGGTGAATTTGTATTTTAAAAATCTTTTACTCTAAATCAGAACAATTTGTAGAAGCTTTGAGAAAATAAAATTATTAAGCCATAAAATAAAAGTAGATAATTATTTTTTATTTTTAAAATTTTTAGAAAAAAACTAATACATATATTTTTGTTTTTAAAATGCAATTAAGAGTTCAATAAAAAATTTATTAACCATAAAGTTCATAAAGATAAGCAAAGTAATCAAAGTACATTAAATAAATGCAGGGAAGTAAAGAAAATGTGAATTAGATTTATAATGGATTGGTTGAAATCAACCTACACCCACTCCCTAAAGGTCCTCTTTTTTTAGTATTGCACTATATTGCACTCCTTTAGCACTTAGCTAAGTGGAGATACCCTTCGCTCTTAATTGGTGGAGAAAAACATTTGCAAACACATCTACCCCCCATAAAATATCCCTAATTAAGCCTCCAAGCATAACAAAGGTGTCAATCGATCATTCTTCTCCTTGTAGGACATAGATGCCAATCCATCCTTCTTCTCCTTACACAGTGGAGATGCTAGTAACTCCTTTTAATCCTCACATGGTAGAAATTCCAACCCTCCTACTCTGCATATTGGAAAAAGGGTTTCCCCTTGCCTGCTCAATTTGTAAATTTTTTCCCAAAGATTTCTCACTAGTGCACTTCTCTAATAGCTCCACAAACAAAAATATGGAGGACCCATTTTGCTAGAAAATAAGAAAATCATGTGAAACCCTCATACCCCTTGACACCCTTAAGGAAAACTACAACCTTGTGTAATCAGCCTTACTTCCACTCTATCCAAAGTAGTTTGGACTTCCATTTACAAGCAAGGAGACTCTCTCTCCTTTTCTTAATACATCTCCCTAGTAAAATATCTCTAACTACCAACATCACACCTTCAAGTCTTTCACTAAATTTATAAAGTAGGTATTTAAATAAACTATGAATTTGAAATTTAAAACTCAAGTCTATACAGTTAGATAATCATGTCATAATATCAAATTAGTTTAATTCGCAATATAAATCATCATATATGATACACTATTATATAATATGATTAGTTATATTGAATCCGACATCATCTAGGATGATTCAATATTTGGCCAGTGTGATATCTATTTAATTGGCCTGTATGATATGGATTGTACAATCTAATTATTAATTAGGATTTGATTCCTTAATATATGAGAAAAAAATAAGAAATTACTCATTATTCATCATATAATATGAATAACTTTGTACAGTATGATTTGACCAAATTTCAAATTTTAAAATTGCCTAATTTTGATTGTATAGATTTGTAGCAGTGAATTTGACTCAAGAAGGTTCCATCTTCTATTTTATTTATAATAAATCCAAAGAAATATTTTAACTCACCAATCATGATCATTCCAAATTCAATCCTCATAATGAAAGATAATTCTTTGCATAAACCATCATTGTTTAATACAAAATAATATCATCCATATATATATGAAGAATGAGTATATCATCTATAATTCTCTTAATAAATTAGGTGGTAATACAATGACCTTAATAAAATATTTCTTTAATAAAAAATTATTAACCCTATCATACCATGACTTAGGTGCTTAATTAATCCCACATAGGGATTTCCTATGTTTAGAAATATAATTTGGGAAGGTTACATTCTCAAAACTAGGGGGTTGTTCCACATATACATCATCCTTGATCACCCCTTTCATAAATCATAATTTGCATCCATTTAATAAAATTCTATGCTCTCAATTCATGCAAATGCAAAGAGTACATTGATAGGTTCTAAAACAGCTACTAGGGCAAAGGTTTCCTCAAAATCTATCTGTTTAATATTGTTACAAACCTTTGCTACCAACCTACACTTATTCCTAACTATTTATCAAAAGTCATTTAATTTATTTTTAATACCCTTTTTTCTAATAGCACTTTTATCAGTTGGTCTAGTTTTGAATTCCCATTCATTATTTTTAGCCAATTTATATAATTCTTCTTGATTGATACAATCTAAAATTCATCTTCAAGTTCATGTTCTATGCTAGTAGGCTATACCATAGAGATAAAAGTTATGTGCATAAGTTCTTTTCGAAGTATATGCTTACTCTTAACCCTTATAAATGGGTCTCATATAATGAATTATATAGTGTGAATAGATGCATATCTTAATTCTCTAGGCAATAGATCCTAAACTTCTTGTTCATCATCTCATCTAATATTATGAGTACTGTGGGTTATATCTTCAACTTTACCATCAATTCTTCAATCATCATAATCCCTTTAAACTCATCAAAAGTAACTTGGTTGGACTTCTCAATAAAGTCCTCTAATCAAAAATTATATATACCTCATGTACTAAGAAATATTCTGGAAACATTGCTTCGTCTACCTTTACATCAATTTTTTCCAAACATGATTTTTCATTTTTTAAAATAAAAAACTTACACCCAAACACACATAGATGAGATAAAGTAAATGTTAAAAGCTTAAGAAACACATCTGGTGCCTTATTTAATTTAAATCTTGTTGCAGTTCTGGACCCAAGCACTGTGATCTTGATGATAACAAATATTATTATTCTTTTACTACTATCATTCATTCATATCTATTTTATGTGCTAAGCTCACTAACCTTTCAGGTCCATAAGGTCAATTGCAATTCAAGCTAGCTCAAGATTGGGTAATTAAGATTGAGTCAGTCTGTAACTTTAATTCCAGAGATTTTTACTTTTTCTTGAGTCAAATATACCTTGGTGGATAATGATGAAAAGTAACCTTGCACACATACACTCAGGAGGAGAAATTATGTAAGTTTAAGATTTTTCTATTTTTGATCATAATGTACAGGACAATCCAAAATCATCCTGTATGATTAGTTAAAAATAGAAACTGTAATTAGGGCATTTGAGTTATAAAAAACTTACTTAAGTAAAACATCCTAGAGGATCTTCCAATTTCCCTAGATGATATGCTCAAATCAGAAATACTCAACTGCAAAACTCATTTAGGCAAGATATTATTTTTAGAAATCATGTAGAATAATCAAATATCATCCTAGATGATTCATTAGAAACATAACTAAATTAGTTAGGTGATTAAAAAAAGTAATTAAGGTAAC